CCCCCCCCCCCCCGCCTCCGCAGACCCGTCCGAGCGTGACGGTGAGTGGGCGCCCCGCGGCGTTCTGCTGCCTTCCCCGGGCCCAGGACGCGTCCCTGGGTCTTCAGAGCACGGGAGGCCCTTCCGGCTTCTCGCACACGGGCAGCTGGCCAGGGCTGGGGAGCAACGTCCCCCCTCCCAGCGCCGATGACACCCTGTGTTTGTTTCCTGCAGCAAATCACAAACTTGGTGGGTCCTTCCTGCTCCTGCTGGCTCCTTCCGCGTCTGGTGGCTGCAGGAGGGCGGTGGCCTGTGGCCGCCCCCCCACCCAGGGTAGGCCTCTGCTGCCACGTGACCTTTCTCCTTGCTTTTGTGCCTCAAACCTCTCTTTTGACTAAGGAACGCCAGATGGGGGGTGGAGGGCCCATCCTAAATCCAGGATGACCTCATCTTCAGATCCTTAACTTTATCTCCAAATAAGGTCACATTCTGGGGGTCAGGACTTGGACATCTTGTTGGGGGCCACCATTCGGCCCAGGACACATCCTGCCTCCACTATTCTGGGGGGTTGTCCCTGGGGGTCAGAAACTTTCTCCCTCTCTGAGTTTGGCAGCCCTTCCGGAAATGTTTGACATGTGAGTGACAGTGTCCACCGTTGGCTGAGAAGCTGGCCCTCCCTAGGAGGCAGGGCAGTCTTTGGGGAAAAACTCCTTTGTAGCCCTGGCCGGCAACCACACCCGCAGTCTTGGACGGCTTGGAGGGGTTCTGACAGTGTTGGCCAAAAAACAAGGCAGGAAGCTCTGGGAGCGGATCTCAGGCAGGACCCCAGCCTCGGCCCGTCCTCTCGGTTTCTGTGGGCTTAGGGGCTCAGGATGCTTAGCTGCCTAGTGCAATGGCTTTTGACGCTGTCCCTGGTTCTGACCACCTGAGTTCCGCCTCTGCGGTGGGGAAGGCCCACCGGCCAATCATCCTGGGCCCTGAGCACAACTGCCATATATAGCCGTTCTGGCTGCAGAGTGCCCACCGGGCAGGGCGGGATCCCTGCGCTCCCTCACCAGGATCTGGGCATCTGGGCCAGGGCAGGCTGGGAGGCGGGAGAGCAAGGCCAGCGGTCACCAGCTCGGCGCAGGAGCTGTCCAGACTGCAAGGGCCCGGGACACACGTGGACTCAGTTCTTCTCTCCCTGCTTTAAAGAAAGCCCTTTCTTCTGCTAATCATGACTGATTGTTATTCTTTGTTTGCAAAAATCCTGATAGGGTGAAACTGACCCACATGCTTTGGGAGGAGGCAAGTGGCTTGGAAACTGGGTTAGGAATCACTATCTCCCTGGCAACCAAGCCCACCCAGCCCCGGAGAGCGCAGTCTTTGCTCTCCGAGGAGCGGGCCCAGAACTACACGCCCCAAGGGATTGGCGCCAGACTCCTAGGACATTACTCTTCCGACACCTGACATCTGTTCCCTCACATCATGCCCAAGTCAGGCCCGATCCACCTGTGTTCTCTTTTACTGCAAAACAAATTACCCCCAAATTAAGGTGCTTAAAACAACACAGTTTATGCTCTCCCCCTGTCTGTGGGCCAGAATTCCAGGCGTGGCCTTGCTGGGGCCCCTCAGGAGGTTGTTGTCAGCTGTGGTCCAGGGCCGTGGTCTCTTCCGAAGGGGGCCTGGGTGGGACAGTCTGCATCCAAGCTCCCTTCTGTGGTCGTCCACAGGCCTCACTCCCCGCTCAGGGCAGCTGGCTTCCCCGGGATGAGGGTATGAATGGTCTGGTAGTGGGAGGGAGCGTGCTCAGAAGCCACTGTCTTTTTATGACCTTGTCTCAGAGTGACGTCCTGCCCTCTGCCCCCTTCCCCTCACTAGAAGCAGATGGCTAAGTCCAGCCCATGCCCAAGGAGCGCGCTCCGCGAAGACCAGATTAGCAGGGGGGTGCACGGCTCGAGGGCTCTGACAGCCCGCCCACCACGACACCAATTCCAGATGTTGGGGCTCGGCTGCCTCGCCCTAGACCTGGCAGGGACCTTCTTCGTCTCTGGGCAGAGATTTGGCCGAGATTCCTATTCCTGGAGTGGACTGACTGTGGTCGGCAGGGACCCCCGTCAAGTGCACCCTACAACCACCCCATGCATCCGGCATGCAGCTGACCAGAAGGGACAGAGGCTGGCCTCGTGGCAGATACCCAGGAACATCTGTCCACCCCGCACCCCAGTCCCACGGAGAAGGCAGTGTGAATCTGAAATGAGTGTGTCAGTTCTGAGGAGGATGACGGGGTCTGGGCCAACCAGCCTCAAAACTTCCTTGGGCCCCACGGCTTTTAGAAAAAATTCCAACTCTTTCCTGCACACAGCCTTCCTACACCCTCCTCCTTCCCTCTCTCCCCTTCCGCCTGCCCCTCCCCTCCTCCCTTCCCCCCTTCCCTTCTCTCTCCTCCCCCTCCCCTCCCCTTCCCTTTCCCCCCTCCCTCCTCCCCCTCCTCCTCCCTCCCCTTACATCACTTGGCTCCTCTCCCAAGCACTCCTGCTCTCTCCCATCTCTGGGACTTGAAGCTTCTGGCAGCCTCATCCTCCAGGCCTTGGCTCAATGTCCCCTTCGAAGAGGCCTTGTCCCCGCCTCCAGATTGCCCTCAGCGCTGCTCACATCACTCCACAGCCACCTTTCTGTTTGCGCAGTCATCCCTGCTGCCTGCCTTCACGGGGCAGCACCCAACTGTCCCTCTGGCACGGCGGGCTGAACGCATGACTGTGTCGTGATGGCACCCTCCCAGGCGCCTGGGCCAGATGCTCAGCGAGCACTTCACTGGCGGCATCGAGTGGGATTCCCACGATGCTCTTGCAAGGTAACTAGCCCTGCCCCATTCTACAGACGAGGGACTGAGGCTCGGGCGGTCACACAGCACGCCCAGATCCACGCGCCCTGGGGGTGACTCACGCTGTCTGCGCCCAGAGCCCGGATCTCACCACTGTGCCACTCTGCCCCAGACATGCAAACGCCCACGAGAGCACAGAACAGAGCCCTGTGCAGTGTTGGGAGCGACAGGGCTGACCCACTGGGCCTGGGGTCTCAGTGAGTGTGTGAGTGAGCGTGTCAGTGTGTGCAAGTGTGCAGGGGTGGCAGAGGAAATGCATCAGTATGAATGTGATGTGTGTGGGTGAGTGTGCATGAGTGTAGGCAGCTGGAGCCTGGGGGTGAGGGACCTTGAGTGCACCCGCCTTCCCTGCCACAGCCTTTCCCCTCCTGGCCCCCAGGGCGAGCGGGGTTCCCAGGCCCGAGGGTTTCTGGCAAGGGTTCCCTCAGTGCCGCTGCCCCGGGGAGCTTCTCACACTGGGGTGGGAAGGGGTTCTTTGGAGTAGACCTGAGCATCCAGAAAGGTCAGGTGTCTTTAAGGAGACCCTGCATGCTGAGATTTGGTCTCGGGCAAAGGCAGATGCAGGCACATGGGCCACAGAGTCCTGGCACCGCAGGTGGGGTCAGGTAGCTGCTCTGTGCCAGATGCGGGGCCATGGGGGTTTCCCAGAGGCAGTGCCTTCAGGGGAGGGGATGGGAGGGTCTAAGATTGGACCCTGGGCTTCAGGTCCAGGGCCACCAGAGGGTCCTTTTGGGGGAGGTGCCCAGGACCGTTTACTGCAAAAAGAAAGTACAGGGTGGGAGGGTTTTCGTGTGCCTGGTGTGAGGTGTGGGATGGGTGTTCCGGGCCCAGGAGCGTGCAAGCAAAGGCTGAGAGGAAGGAAAGTGCAGGGAGCACGGTGTGTCTGAGGCTGTGGCTTGACCTGGTGCAACTTCCTCTGCAGGGATCTTCCTCTGATTGCCTGGATCGTTGGCACAGGGAGGGTGGAGAGGGAGGTGGCAGGTGGGAGTGGTGCAGGCGCTGAAGGCTGGTGGCAGAAATGCCCTCAGGACGCCAGCCTGGAAGGAGTTGGCCGTCCCATGTGAGACGGGGATAACCACCCCTGTACTGGACACAGACTCAGACCTGGGCGGGGGGGGGTGTCTTGGGGGCACATTTCAGCTGAGAGGAATTAGGGGGGTGGGTTGGGGCAGAGGAGGAGTCTCCCAGAGCTGGGAGAACACTGGGGCTTTGCCGGGGAGTCCTGTGGGCGCAGCTGGGGCACAGGCGGCTCTGGGAGACTTGGAGGTGGCGGGTGTAGTCTAGGGAGGGGTGGGTCTGCAGAACAGCGGGACCAGAGAGGGGAAGGGCCCTCTGTGTGAACCCTTTTGTTGGCACCTGAGCCAAAGTGGGCCCAATGGCCTTGAGAGGAGGACAGATGGACAGACAGCTCCTGGACTCGGGGTTGCTAGGGGGCGGGCAACAGTGACGTGCTGTGAGGCCCTCATCCGCCTGCGGAATGCCAGGCGCCTATGCCAGGACTTGGTTTGTAGCTTAGCTGCTTGGGGCCTCGAGCTCTCTCCACCTTCTCAGCTGGTAAGTCCATCTGTTCCTTTGTGCCAACCAGGACCACATTTATGTCTCCACCCCAGAACCTCCTCTGAGCCCCGCAGGGACCTTAGCTCTCCTGTTGGTGCTGTCCAGGCACGTCCAACGAAGGAAAATGCTTTAACACCTCTCACGTCCGATGTGCTCGCCGTCCTGCCCTCGACCCATCTGCTTCCCAGGCCAGAGCCCTGAAGGTAAGCATCCTGGACACACAGCTCCAAATCTTGTGAACCACGTCTACTGCTGCCCCTGCGTCTGGGCCCCATCCTCCTCACCGACCCCCTTCTTCTGTTCTAGAAATTCCAGGCCATTCTCTACTCAGCAGCCATGGGGATCATCTGAAATGTCAGCCGGTGATGTGTGTGCCCTGCTTCAGCTCCTTCCACCCCTGCTTCTGCAGACAGTGCTGACCACCGAGCTTGAAGCCATCCCACTTCCCTTTCCCTGTGTGTCTTCCTTTGATATCGATGGGAAGGCTGGGAGGCTCAGGGGAAAGGGACAGAGCCTCCGGTGAGCTTTGAGCCCCACCAGCCCTGACTCCTGTGACAGTCAGGGTTCTCCTGAGAAGCAGAACCAATGGGGTGTATATATTTGTACAGAAAGATTTATGTTAAGGAATTGGCTCATGTGATTTCCAGAGTCTGGCAGGAGGGTCAGTAAGAGCCAGTGCTCCTTCAAGTTCAAAGGCTGGTTGCGGGCAGAACTCCCTCTTGCTCAGAGCAAGTCAGTTTTTTGTTCTATCCAGGCCTTCAACTGATTGGATGAGGGCCACCCACACCATGGAGAGAAATTTGTTTCACTCAAAGTCTACTGATATAGGGGCGCCTGGGTGGCTCAGTTGGTTAAGCGACTGCCTTCGGCTCAGGTCATGATCCTGGAGTCCCGGGATCGAGTCCCACATCGGGCTTCCTGCTCAGCAGGGAGTCTGCTTCTCCCTCTGACCCTCTTCCCTCTCGTGCTTTCTATCTCTCATTCTCTCTCTCTCTGAAATAAATAAAATCTTAAAAAAAAAAAAAACCAAAGTCTACGGATATAAATGTTACAGGAACACCCAGAACAATGTTTGACTAAATATCTGGGCGCTGTGAACCAACCAGGTTGACACACAGAATTAACCATCACACTCATGGACGGGTATTTTGACTTGTAATTCAAAGACTTCCCAACTAGTACACTAAAGTGCTTGGGACACAGTCCGTGATCTGTAATAGGACTTCAAAGCCACTCCGTGGGGTCTGACATTTGCCCTCTTTTCTGATTTCGCCTTCCTCCACCCCCCACCCCCCAGTCACTGAGTGCCAGACCCACCGACCTTTCCATTCCCAGCCTGTGCACAGGTAGGGTTCCCACACGAGGGGCTGGTTACCTCGAAACCTTCCCTGCAACCTTAACGTCTGAACACAGTCTAACGTTCATGGTGAGCGGCGCTGCCTCTCAAACAGTGCAAGGGTCTGGGGACCCTCTCACTCAGTCACCTCCTCCCGTTCCACATGCTGCAGCTCAGACTTCACCTATCGCTCGCTCCTACTGTCTTAGACGACAAAGCTAACTGCCATTTCTCTCTCATCAGCCAGTCTCTTCACACAGTTCCTTCTCATGTCTAGCCCTTCTCTCCTGAAGTACATTCTTTAAAAATGCCTGCTAGAGGTAAGCTCTCTCAGCGTCTCCAAAATGTCATCTGAAGACATTTATTTGTCTAAACCTTGAATTTTCTGAAACATTTATTTTGCACTGATTTTTGGAAAACAGCGTGTAAAGTTCTTAGCTGACAGTTCTTTTTGTCTGAGCACACTTCCTGGGTACTTCTTCCCTGTCTTGGCGCCCCTGCTGCTGCCGAAGCTGCCAGCCTAGCTGCTGTTCCTTTGGAGCTCGGGTCCCTTTCTTGTTGGCTACCGAAGCATCTTCTTTTGCCTTCAGTGGTCTGCAGCTTCACGACGCCGTACTAGGTGCGAATTTCCTGCTTATTGATTCTATTTAGCACACATGGTGCTTCTCTGTAAATGCTTCTTTCATCAGTTTTTTTTTTTTTTAAGAGAGAGAAGGGGAGCGGGAGAGAGAGAGACTCTCCAGCAGGCCCCCCACCCCTGCCCAGCGCAGAGCCCGACACGTGGGGCTGGATCTGGAGCCGAAATCAAGAGCTGGACGCAGGCGCGTCTCCATCACTGGTTCTGACGCATCATGTCTTCCAACACTGGCTCTCTTCCCTTTGGGGCTCTGCCCAGACTTCCCCCGGCGCTCTGCACGTGACCCGTTGGGTGTCCTGACCTTCCCTTCCATCTTCTAGCTCCTCACGCCTTGCACACATTCCTGATCATTTCTGGAGGCTCAAATTCCGGTTCGCGAACTCCTTCTTCACTTGTGTCTCCTGTGTGTCCTCGTGCACTTGCTGTTGCTTTTACACAACAGCTTGACCGAGACGCAACTCGCATACTGTAAACTTCACCTTTTAAAGTCTCTGATTCAGTGGGTTTTAGTACATTCACAGTGTGGTGCAACTATCATCACTATCTTTTTAAAACATTTTCATCACTTGAAAAGAAACCCCTTGACCTTTAGCAGAAACTCTCCATCCCTCCCTCCTCCCAGCCTGAGGCAACCGTGAATCTCCGTTCCCTCTTTTTTGGATTTTTCCGTTCTGGAAGTCTCATAGAAGTGAAACCATACCATGTATGTTTTTAGTGACCTTGTTTTCATTTGGCATACATCTCTCAACGTTTCTGATAACCTTTTAATTTCAGTGGAAAGTTGTTTATTTCTAGAGGCTCTCCTTTTGTTTTCAGCTAAGCACAGTCAGTTTTGATAGTGCCTTGTTCTTTCCTTTAAGTATATCTTAAACCCACAAGATAGGTTAATTTTATATTCTATATCTACCACTTTCAGTTTAGAAAGTTTGTAGAGATTGGAATCTGTTCCTCTTCACTGCTTCTGCTGTGTCTCTGTTGGCCTGTTTTCTTTGGACGTTTGCTGATTTTTGACTTTGAACTCCTGTTTGAATTGAATCTGTGGGAGCCCCAGTCGCCAGGCTGGGGTTGCTTGTCTGCGTCCTCTGCCATCGGTCCTCCAGAGCGCTGAGCACTGAGGTGTACAGGTCCTGCCGCCAAGCTGCTTAGGTTCCAATACTGGCAGTGTCACCTGGTCACCCTTGGGTGTGACCTTGGGCAGGGAGCTCAAGCTCTCTGTGCTTGGGCTTCCTCATTGTAAGACGGGGATGTCAAGAATACTTCCACAGCAGGTGGGGGTGAAGCTATGACATACGTGCCTGGAACAGCACACACACTAGGTGCTCAGTCAAGGCTGTGGTTGGCTCCTCTCACAAGGGCATACCAGTGATGATCCTTTGTCTGATGCAAGACTGGGTGAACCTTCTCATTGTGTTGTCCCAGGCCCAGGGCAGCGATCGGCTAACCGTGGGTACTCCATGAATATTTGTTGGCCAAATGAAGGCAGGGCAAAAAGGAAGGACCCCCAACTCCTGCGCAGTAGCTGGGGCTTACTCAGTGCTCAGCAGAGATGGATTCCAGGCACAGGGGACAGCAAGTGCAAAGGCACAGCACTCAAAAGCTTTGTGGGACGGGAAGGCGAGAGACAAAGCTGAGAAACTGGCCAAGCAGGCGGCGGACGGCCTTGAATGCCGCGACCAGCCCTTGGGACTCGGCCCTCCGACGGGGGCGTGGTTGGAGCCCTCAGTCCCTGGGGCAGCGGTGGCTGGCGGGGGTCGTCGCGGGTGCTCTGAGTCGGGGTTGGGGTGGGGGAGCGCAGCCTCAAACCATCGAAGCCGCGACGACGGAGCTGGGGAGGGGAGGGCTCCAGGTACGGGAGCCTGCGAACCAGGACCTGCGCGAATCACCTTCGCTGTTACCTCCCCCACTCTCTGCGTCTTTGTGCGTTTCGCTCGCTTCCTTTCGCCGTAAACGTTCTTCCGAGAAATTCCGAGGGGATCTCGGCCAAGCAGAGGGGGAAGGGATCTTGCCCACGCCGGGGGAGGGGTGCGCGGGGCGGCCGCGGAGGGAGCCGGCACCGGAGGGGGCGGACGCGCGGGCCGGGCGCTGCCTGTCGAGGGGCGCGGACGGCCCAGGACAGCCACCCGCCGCGGCACCGAGCCCCGGGCGCCCCGCCCGCGCTTCTCCCGCCGCCCCCGCCCCCCGCGCGCCCCCGCCCGGCTCCGCTCCGCCCCTCGCGCGGGGTCCGCGTCTGCGGCTGCGTTCCCCGAAAGACAAGGCTGCGCCCGGGTTCCGGTCCGCAGGGAGACCGAAGGGCACCGCTCCTCGCGCTTCCCGGAGCCCCGGAGTGCCGACCCCCCAGGGATGTGAGTGCGCCCCCGACCCGAGGCCCGCGCTCCACGCCCCGACCTGCGGTGAGCGCCCGGGCACGCGCAGGAGGCGACGGGAGGGAACTCAGCGCGGGGTTCCCGGGCCCCCAGCCCAGGGGTGGGGGTGGGGACGTGGCTCGCGCCCCTCCTCCATCGGCAGGTACCGCCTGCTCGCACCTTGTCTAGCGCTCTTCTCTCCGGACGCACCTACCGCTCCCCAGGGAGGAGAAGACGCGCTCTCCCTGACCCCCCACCCCACAGGTGCCAGGAGCGGGTTGGGGCGTTTCGAGCTGTCACCCTGCCCGAGACGGCCGACCTATTCTCCCTGGAGGGGATGCTGTGATGGTGGACGCTCTGGGGGATGGGCTGGGGGTGGGGCTTTGCGAGCTTGCGAACAACCCCCCCACCCCAGCTCTGAGATTCCGAGGAGGGGGGACGTTGCGATCCCGTGCCAGAAGAGGGGAGGGGGCTTCGGGCTTGGCAGGAGGCTGGGGCTCCTGACCGAGGCTTCTCCTTGCCAGGCCCGCGCCCGGAGGACCTCCGCCCACAACCCCCGCGCCTTCCCGAGGCCCGCCTGGAGCATGCTGCCTGCAGCCATGAACGGCCTCGGCCTGGTGCTGCTGGCCGCCCTGCTGTGCTCTGCGCCCGGTGAGTCTGGGGTGGCCCCGCGGGGCTGGGCCAGGTCGCCGGAGGAGCCCGAGGCGGCTCCGGAGAGAGCCGGGCTGCAGGGCCGCCATCCTCCGACGGTGCTGGTCACATCCACACCCTCTCCCGGACCCTGGCGACGCCAGCCGGCCCTCGCGCCTGTCGCCTTCACTCACGGTACTCCAGCTCCAGCCCCAGCCACGCGGGGCCCTCCTGGCTCCTGAGGGCACCGAGCGGTTTTCCTCCCGGTTTTCCGCACCGGCGGGCTAGTCCTGCGCGGACGCTCCTCGCTCAGGGCGGGGTTCTCGCGTTCCATCGCTTCTCAGAGCCCCACCTGGCCTCCCATCAAGTCTGCGTGGTCCTTCCTTCCTTGGAGCAAGTGAAGTCTGCGGGGAGGTGTGGGAGGGGTCGGAGTGTGCCGGAGAGCACCAGAGGGGTGAGAGATGTGGGGCTGGCTGTGGACGCTTGTGCCTGCCGCCACGGAGGGCGCCCAGGGGCTGCCAGAGTTGCAGTGGTGGGACCCTCCCCCCAAGTTGCCGGGAAGGCACACAGGTTCTCCCAGGGCCTGACCTCCAGGTGCCTGCTCCCTCCTGGCAGGGGGTGCTCGGCCTCCTACAGTGGCCTGGTTCTCCTAGCAGTGCCTGCAGTAGGTGGGTGGGAGGGGCAGGGGGACGGCTGGCTTGGCCCCCGGTTCCTCTGGTCATCGGAGTCCTTGTGCCCTGCCCAGCTCACGGCCTGTGGTGCCAGGACTGCACCCTGACCACCAACTCGAGCCATTGCACCCCAAAGCAGTGCCAGCCGTCGGATACAGTGTGCGCCAGCGTCCGGATCACCGACCCCAGTAGCAGTGAGTCAGGACCAGGGCCTGGGTGGGGAGCGGTTGGGGGTGTCATCTGAGCCCCTCTGTCCTCGACTAAAGGCGCAGGGCTGTGGGTGGCCTGCTGTGTGAGGCTGAGCAGGTGCCCTGTGTGGCCCTCTCCAGATCGCTGAGACAGGGTGGGTGGGTTGAAAAGCTCAGCTCTGCTGTCTGGGGGTCCCGAGCTGCGTCCCGGGCTGGGTCCTGGGCCTGGGCGTGACGCAGAGAGGGCCCAGGTGCCGCTCCTGTCCCAGGCTCTCCTACCTCTTCCCCAGGCAGGAAGGATCATTCCGTGAACAAGATGTGCGCCTCATCCTGTGACTTCGTGAAGCGACACTTCTTCTCAGACTATCTGATGGGCTTCATTAACTCTGGGATCTTAAAAGTGGACGTGGACTGTTGCGGGGGAGACCTGTGCAATGGGGGGCCGGGGGCGGGGGGCAGCCCCTGGGCCCTGGCGGGGGGCCTCCTGCTCAGCCTCGGGCCTGCCCTCCTCGGGGCTGGGCCCTGAGGCCCTCTCCCTCCTGCAGGGCTCTGAGCTTCCTCCCTGGAACCTGGCCCTCGCCCCTCCCTGAGCCATGAGGCTTCCCTCTCTCCACCAGCTCTGAGTCCGGGCCAGCAGGACGCCTCTAGGAAACCCGGTGTCTGCAGGAGGCCCCGGGGGGTGTGGGCTGGGGACTGGGACCCCCAGGTCTCCGAGGGGAAGCCAGGCAGAGCCAGGCCCAGCCCAACCGATGGCTGCGAGGGCATCTTCCGCAGAGAAATAAACTCACTTCTGGTCCAGAGACCTGGGTCTGAGCCTGGGTGTGGGGGTCAGGCTGGCAGAGCAGGGAGAGGGGCTCCAAGGACGTGGGGCACTGGGACTGGGGGTTTGTGGGTGTGCTGGGCAGCCTGGGGCACCTGGGGCCTGGTAGCAGATGGGAGCAGAGGTTAGAGTGGACAGAGTCTCGGGACAGGGACACGAAGGTAAGGCCTTGTAAGCGTGTGTGAGTGCACGTGACACCAGACGTGCAGGCATGCGCACATCCATGCCTGCAGAAGTGTGCTCCGCGTCCACGCCCGCTCGCACAGATGCACGCGCGAGCCCCCGCAGACGTCCACAGGTGTGCACGCTGAAACACGGATGTCACACCAGCACCTGGACTGGTGTGCCCCAGCCCACACACACGCACGTCTGTACACACACGCTTCTTGGCCCTCAGGGTCTAGGGACACGAAGACACACATGCCCTGCGTGTCCCTTCCTCTTGCCCTTTCTCTCACTTGCTCTTTCATGGAGCCTTGGGGTGATCAGACTCTGGGGCCCGCTCCCCAAAGAGCTGTTGGGAGCACTCTTGCACCCAGACTCGGCCTCTTAACCAGAGACCCTTTGCCCCCACCTAGGGCACCTCCTTGGGCAGGGTCACGAAGGCTAGCCCCTGAGCAGGGGCTGAGGCGGCCCCACGTGGGATGGCGCAGAGGCACTGGGTGCTTCGGGTGGGAGGAGGCAGGGGAGCATCTGCAGGTAGATCTTAGGGACCACCTCTGGCCCTTCCTGCTCCGATGGTGGGTCTCTGATTTTGTCCCTGCACCCCTGGGTTCAGCCCAGTCTCCCATGCTCCCAGGCCACGTGGGTCACCCCATGGCCCAGGCTCACCACGTGATGTCAGCGGTCACTCCGGGCTTCTCTGGAGTCTGGTCTTCAGTCAGTTCTTCCTCATCCTTCTGTGGCCGACCCAGGCTGTGGGTGCTCCTGGGTCCTGGACCCCTTGGCAAGAACCGTGGTTTCACTAAGAGCTGGCCGTGGCATTCCCCCCGGGGCTCCTGCGTGTGGTTGAGGGAGAGGGACCTGGGAGTCCGGGGTGAACACGACAGGAGAGGAGTCACTGGAGACTGTGTCCACCTCCTGCTGGTAGGACTGGGCAGGGACGTGTCTCCCGCTCTGTTTTAAGTTTGCTTTGCTGCCCTGCAATGCACCCTGTTCCCATCCTGCCCAAACCTCAGTAAAGTGTGCTGCCCACCGCTGTGTCTGGTGTTTGGGGGCGTGTAGGGACCGGGCACTCTCACTTAGGGCAAGTGTGAAGAGCAGCTTGAGGATTCAGAGGCCGGAAGCTGGTGCCACCCAGGATGCGGTTCCATGGGGGCCCCGGAGGTTCCCAGAGGACGAGATGCCGCCCCATGGGTTCAAACCAACTTTCAGGTGAATCTCTGTGTGAGAATTTATTACCTGAGGGATGTATTTAAAACACGAAAAGTGGGGAGATCCTTCCAGCTGTGCGATTCAAGGTGAAGGGGGGCGCGGGGGCAGTGTGGCCCAGAGAGCCCGCTCTCCGCTCTCCGCTCCAGAGCTGCCCCATCCGGGGCTGGGTCCCCACGCCTGAGAACGAGCGAGCCGTCTCCACCGTGATGAGTTGTCATGGCAGGCTTGAACCCCGCCGTCTGTGAGGCGTGCTGGGTCTGCCTGGGCACATGGACAGCGCTATGTGTGCAACTTGATAATTTTTCTGAAGAATCCACCAAGGTCATCCTTTCCGGATCTACGTGGACCTTTCGTTTTCACTGTCTGCTTAGTATTCCCCTGCATGAGCAAACCGCGCTTTTCCTAGCCACCCCTCACCCGAGGGCAGAGGGGTCCGCTCTCAGTCCCTGATCAGCGCTGTCGTGACCACCCTCACGCTCACGTCCTTATGGGATCCAGTGACTCTCCGTCTCAGGGGGATTCAGGAAGTGTGTGGCTGAGCCCGAAAAACATCTCCTTGGAAGGAGTAGATCTCCCCGAAGGAAGGCTGTGCCCGTCCCTCCTCCCGGGCCCCTCCACCCTTACCGCATGGATCCCCCGGGAGCTCCCGTCAGCCTGGGGGACGAAGAGTAGGGTCTTATCCTGATTTCCATTGGAGAACTTAGTAGTGAGACTGAACGTCTTATGAGTTTGTCCCGACTTATGAGCGTTTCCTCTGTAATTGCCGGTCGCACCTTTGGTCCACTTTGGGCTTTTGTCTTTTCTTACAGAAGTATGAGGCCCTCTTGTGAGTGAGGTACCATCTTTCCCGTGGTCTGTGTTTTCCAAGTATCTTCGTTTTTGGTGTTTTCCCAGTACATGCGTGCACATCCTCAAGTTCGGTGTGGTTGAATCTAATTGTTCTTTTATTGTTTCTGGCTTTCAGATCATAGGAGAGCCTCCTCTGTCCTTATCCTAGGTAAACAGTCTTTATATTCTGCTATTGTTACGGATTTGGCTACTTCCTTCAGATACCCGATGCACCCGGAGTTTGTTTACCACGCAGCAGGAGGCAGGACCTCTTTGAAATACATGGCCGGTGTTTGTCAATGCCGTTCATGAACACACCTGTCTTTCCCCGTGACTCCAAGTGCCACCTTGGTCATAGCGTGCATGGCACCCGTGGTGTGTGTTCCGGCCGCTGAGCGTGGGCCCCACCGGGCGCGGCAGCTTCAAGTCACGTTCACCAGCTGGTGAGGCGAGTCCCCTCCTTGCTCCTCTTTTGAAAAGAAGATTGTCACTTCTTGCGATTTATTCTTACAGGTGAATGCCGGAATCCGTTTGTGCAGTTCCAGAATAACACTCAGGATGTTGACTGCAGTTGCACCGGTTTGTGTGCCGCCGGGGCCGGAGGCTGTCTCCACGGCATGAGGACTCCCCACGTGGGAGTGCGGAGCTCCTGCCCATCCCGCGGCGACCTGCTCGCGCCTCTGTTCTGGCTCATTCCCCCTGTGGGTCTTGTACCTCCCTCGGCGTCTAAGCTAGGTAACCTGTAGTTTTGGTGGTTGTAACTGGGGCTTCCTCCTTTTCTTTAAACCACAGTGGTCATTTTCGGTGTGGTGAGCTGGTTATTCATTTTCTTTCATGCCGTTCTTTCTAGAAGTACCCACCCCCCCACCTGGCCTTCATTTAAGCAGGACGGCTGAGGGTTTGGGGGATCAACAGGGCAGACAACTGGTGGAGCCCGTGAATCACTGGCCTCCATGTTTCCAAGAGCTCCCCCCGCTACGGTGCCAACGGGCCTCTCTGAGTCAGAGGGAGTAAGTCTGCAGAGAAGCCCGTGGAAACGCTTCCAGATGGGGAGGGAGAGCGGGACCTTCCTCAAACTAGGCAGAGATGCCCCTGGGCTGAGCCAGCAGAGGGGCGGGAAGGAGCGGAGGATGGGGTGCGTCCCAGAGAGAGGCTCCTGAGTGGCAGGACCTCTGAGCGGTACCTGCCCGCGGAGGTCTGGGTCGGGGGTCTGCAGACAGCCCGGGGCCTCCACGCTGTGGTGGGGCCTGGGAACAAGGGTCAGGGCGAGGCCACAGTGACCCAACTGAGGGCACAGCCTGTGTGTCCCAGGTGCCGTGCATGGACCAGGCAGGGCAGGGGTGAGGCAGTGGATCTGCCTGTCGTCCCTCATTGCACGCAGCCCTGGGAGGGAAGAGCCCAAGACATCGGGCTTCCGCCTCCTGGTGAGATGGGTCTGGAGAGAAACACTGTGACAGAAAGAGTAAAGTTCTGCTCCTCGCTCAGGCTGTGCTCACACGTGTGAGTGCGACAGCCCAGGCCGCGGGAGTCAGTGGAGGGCTTTCAGGAGGGGCTCTCCGGGCGGGCGGAGCGCGGCCCCTCGCCCCTCCTCAGCCCTCCTCCGTGGTGTGGTCTGGATGCATCTCCCCGGCTGAGCCAAAGTCATGTAGGGATGCCCTCGGGGCTGGGAGGCTGCTGAGTGCACTCCTGAATTCCAGAAGCGCGCGGCTTACACGCAGGGGCGTCCACAAGGTGCAGAGGGTGTGGGCATGACGTGGGGCGGCCACCGACAGCGCTGAACCCACGCAAGAAAAAGCTACTTATTTTCCAACACCGAGCTCTGCACATTCCACTGTTGGTGTCGTCTCTTAGATGTTCAAGGTATACCACCAGGCAGTGTACAAGTGAAGATGCAACTCTGCTTTCCCAACATTTTTATTGTGTGTTCAATTTTTGTGCCTGTTGCATTAGCGGGGCCTGTGAAGCCGGCTGACTGATGACACAGCCCCGGGCGTGTCTGTTCACCGAAGGACTTCCCTGTGGCACCCTGAGTCGACGTTTGCTTTTGGAGTTGAAATCGGTCTTTATTCAGCTTACACTATTTATTCATATTTCAGTTAGATTTCTTTATGAGGGACGGCTGATGAGTTTAAGAGAAATACCCTTTCACCATTTATTGATACGAGGACATGTCCCCTCGTTTAATTAGTAGTTTCTGCAGTGGGTTCTATTGCTCGGTGTCCTGGTGGTGAGGCTCCTTGGCGTTCGCGACAGGTAAACCCCGGGGGGTCACGCCAGACTCCCATTGCCCGCGCCTGGTTAGGATCACTGCATCAGAGGACTTGTGCACCGGCTCCAGGATTGAGATGGGTCTCTAGTCCTTCGGGTGTCCTCATCGGAGGTGAGCTCAGGATTTTGGCAGCCTCACAGAGGAGATAGGGCACCCACGCTCTGGAGCAGTCTGGTTCCTGGGGGGTCTCGAGGGCCTCTGGTGCGGGCCCAGGGAAGCTGCGGGACCGGTGGGG